CGGCCGGTTCCGAGCGACGGCGCGTCCCCGGCGACGCGCTGGGTGCTCGACGCGCTGCGGAAGGGTCGCGTCGCGCTCCGCGACGCGCGCGACGCCCTGGGCGCCGAGCGCTCCGCGAAGCGCGCCCGCGTCGAGATCATCAACGCGTCGCCCGTGCGAGGCTACGTCCTCGGAACCGACCGGCTCCGACGCGCCTACGTGTCCCTCGAGCGCGGCCTCGACCACGACTCGCGCGTCTGGTGCCTCCCGAGCGAGGCGGGCGGGGGGCCGTGGTGCCAGGTCGAGGGGCCCGCGAACCTGCGAGCCCTGCGGTCTCGCCTCGACGCGCGCGGGACAAGGGAGGCGCTTCTCCGGGAGGAGCTGGCCGTCCTCGATTCCGACGACGAAGTCGACGACGAGCTCGCTCCCGAACGCGCCTAGCGGGCCGGCCAGGCGTGGCTCCGGCCACTATCCCGGAATGAATCGAGCATGCTCACCCTGCCCGACAAGACCTTGCGACGCTGCCGCGCCGTGGTTCCTCGTCCCTCATTTAACCATCACCCCGGGATGCGCCCGTGGCAAAGCACGACAAGACGGCCCGTCAGATCAGGTGAACCATAGCCTCAGCGTTATGGCCTTAGGTTGAGAGGGTAGAGAGTTTTCCCTAGTTAGAGGATCACGATCCTGAGAGTATCCCTAGTTAGGCACCTCCTCTCCTCCCTTGTACTTTAATTCTCCACGGTTTATGCGTAGGGAGAGTTGCGGGGCTGAACCTGAAAAGGGAATTCCTCCGAGTCGTAGTCAGGGGTATTTCTCTCTAGAGGGGGAGGCCTAAGCCCGAGGGGGCTGACCGCCGGTATGCCTGGTAGTATGCGCCTGCTATGCGGGTTTTATGCGGGTGGTATGCGGGTGGTATGCGGGTTTTATGCGGGTGGTATGCGGGTGGTATGCGGGTCACGGTGGTATGCGCCGCCGCCTGCTATGCCGGTGGTATGCGTGGCCCGGCAAGGCCCTCGTCGATCGGCGGTTGCTCCGCGCTCACTCAAGGACTATTTCCTTACTCTTCCTCAATTTACCCTCAAGTTCTAGATACCTCAACCTACCCTCAAGGTCTACCTTCCTCCTTACAGGACCATAGGCTCAGCCTACTGCGTGGCTGGTAGCAAAGTTCCAGTGAAGTGTTTGGGAGCACAAAATGTAAGTGTTTAGGGGGGAGAGGCAAATGTTGGCAAGTGTTTCAACGGCCAAAAAAAGGCGAAATTACATGTGAAAAAAGAAAAGGAGCGAACCAGCAACTGTTCCGTCGAGCTGACGAGAGTGTCTACGAGTGTATCGTGAACTCGAATCAGTGTTTGTAACACTTAGTTACAGCTTTGCTACCAGCCCCGGCCTACTGGGCCTACTGCCACCCTCAACCACTCGACTCGCGCATTTTAGCAGCTGAGTCCCTCGAGTAAACCTCGAGTGTGGTCGAGTGTTCTTTCCACCGTTTATGGTAAAAGAACAACAAGTCGAGCAGGACTGACATTTCAATTGATAGGCGGACCCCTCAGACCAGAGAAAAACATTACGTATTTCTACCGTTAACCGAAATCGAAGTAGCCCAGACTCGGGGTGCGAGTGTTATAGGATACGGGGGATACCGCCGGGGGTATCTCTGTGACCTTCCCCACTGAGGAGGCTCTCCTCCTTTCTCTTTCCTTTCCTATCCCAAAGTACTGAGATCCTCCCTCCCTGGCGCTAACGCCAGTAGGTCAGTCCACGTAACTCTCGCAGCTGCCCCTGCGAGGCCCAGTCTTACTCTGGAACACAGGTTCTTTTACAGCCAGATCTTCTGGATATGCCGGACTGAAGCCATTGCGCATCATAAAGGGGCTAATAGTCGTTCCGGGGATCATGATACACACTGGCATTTTGTTGTAACTGAATACAATGTACGGTAGGACTTCGTCCCAATTATCGTGGATCGCGCTGCTTTCTATCCTCGATCGCTGGAGTTAAGTGCGTAAGAAAGAAAAGGAGAAAAAAAAAGTTCCGACTCGACGTATGATATACACTAGTGGTATATGCGTTGGGCAATTATAATCACTACGGCTCATTTCCTATATATATAAGAAAGATACAGATAAGATACCTACAACGACGCTACCAACCGACGATGGCGGGCCGGAAGGTGGCCATCTCCAACTGCGCGCGGGCGCTGAACGACAATGAGATCTACATCATCCAGATCTTCGACAACGCGCCGTCGGGCCTCCTCGTCAAGGCCTACCTGCAGGCCAAGTCGCTCGAGTACTTTATGCCCATCACCGAGGGCGAGCTCGAGAAGGCGGCGCTGAACCGGGGCGAGGCCGCGCTGACGCGCCTCGCCGAATCCATCGACCTCGTCGAGAAGGGCGGCGCCATCTTCCTCGAGTCGTCCATCCCGGGAATCGCCAAGCCCAAGGTCGTCCCGAGCGGCGCGCGCCGGCGCGCGACGAGCGCGGCGCGCGCGCGCGGACGCCGCCGCCGCACCCCGCAGGCGACGGCGTGCGCCAGTTCATCGGCCGCACGCGCGCGGGCGACGGGACGCTGCCGGCCTTCCTGGCCAAGGCCCTCGCCGAGCTGTGCCGGGACAAGCCCGCGGGCCTCGAAGCGGTCAAGCGGCTCGGCGAGTGGATGCTCGAGCACAACCCGAACCAGCCCGCGGTCGACGAGCCGGAGGACGGGCCGGAGGCCGCCGTCGCGGCGGCCGCGGCGTGAGCTCGGGGGCGGGGGGTGTCCGGGCGTCGGGTCGGGCCGCGCGACGCGAGACCTTTGAATTTTTTTTACTTTAGTAAGGAGCGGCGAATAAAACAGATGGGTTTTGTGTGCAATGGCCGCCTGGCAGATTATTAGCCGCCTTGGAAGTTATTGCCGCTCCCTTTCGGGGGGGAGTGTCGGTAGGGGATGAGTCCAGCCCCCACGTCATGCTCCGAGGGACACGCATGCCAGTTAGCCGCGGCGCAGGGAGGAATTGAAGGGAGGGAGAACAGCGAAGGGACATATAGAAAATAGTTATATTATGGAAAAATTAAAGTGAGTCGGACATTCCAGCGATTTCATTGGTCGAGGACAGAAGATAACACGTATTCTTTGTCCGACGCCACACGCTGCGGTACCGTGACCTGGAGGTGTTTTTGTGAATGGGTGGCCTCGGGACGCCGCCAGGTGCCCTTCATCGCAATTTTGAAGAAAATGGTGCGTCTCGGACAAAAGATCGCTACTCTGGTTTTCATAGCTTGACTATTTTCTATATGAGGCGTAGGGAGAGCCACGGGAGCATGCCACAGCAGGGAGGGCCGGCGAGGGCGTGGTTTCCGGTGTCCTAGCCCCTCCAAGGGGGCGGCGCCGCCGCGGCCCCTCCAGAACTACGTAGTATAACACCGCCCCTGCATGTGCACACAGGCCGCAGCCCGGCCGTCCATCATGGCGCCCGAGCGCCGCGGCCGCCGCGCGGTGCTCGACGACGCGGGCCTCGTCGTCGAGGACGAGCGCCGCGACGGACCGGCGCAGGGGCGCGCCCGGCGGCGCGGCCGCGGCCGGGGCCGCGGCGGCGGCGGCGCCGGCCGGCGCCGGGGCCGCGGCGCCCGCGAGCCAGCCGAGCGCGCCGAAGCGCGCGACGCGCGGCCGCCGGCGGCACCGCCGCGCGGCGTCGCGGAAGCGGACGCGC